CCCCCCCTCTCCCCCCTCTCCCCCGTTGCCGCTGACCGCCACGGCCTCTCTCTCTCTCCGATGCGCGCCAACGCTTAACTGGTCAGGAGCTTAGCCTCCGGTGCGAGCGGTGCGGCCACGACCGAGTCCGAGCGGAGCACTCCCTCGCCGAGCTGCCGGGAGCGTTGGTCCTGCACATCAAGCGCTTCAAGCCCGTTGCGTCGGCACCACCACCACAACTACCGCCGCCCAAGGCCAAGGTGGTGGACTCGTCGTCCGAAGCCAAGTTGCCGGTTGCGGGGTCGGCAGAATCGCCGCTGTCGCTGCCGCCGCCGCCGCCGCCGCCGCCAGTGGGACGGCCGTCAACCGCGCCGGCGGGAGCTTTCGCGATCGCCGGTGTTGCGTCCCCGGAGGATGACGCCGGTTGTGCGACTGCGGTGGAAGCCGGCGGGTCGTCCGAAGGCGTCGTTGCTAGTACTCCTCCCGTTGCCGTGGTGGGGGGAGGCAGCACGGGGGCTAGCAGTAGGAGCGGGAGCAGCGGAAGCGGCGTCACCAGCGGCGGCGGCGGCGGCGGCGGCGGCCGGTCCTACGGCGGCGTGTCGTACGTCAAGCTGGCGTCGCCGGTTTCCGTCCCTCTGGAGCTGGACCTCGAGCGGTTCTGCTCGGGGTACACCGGCAACGCCCCCGCAGAGGATCTCGGCAAGCAGGTGGACTCCCTCGACGGGCTAGGCATCCCCCGAGTCCCCCGCTCCCCCTCGGCGTTCGCCAGCCTCCGCGCCGCGGGGACCGGCCTCTGTGCCGCCAACCGATCGGGACCGAATCCCGCCGGCGGCGGTGGGGAGAAGCGGCCCACTGATGGCGTTTCGGTTGACCTGTTCGCGCGAGAAGGTTGGTCATCGACATCGTCGGGCCAAGCCGGTGTCGGGGAAGGCGGAGGCGGCGGAAGCGTCGCCCCGGGGGTGAACAGGCGGGCCCTGGGGCCGCTGGGGGAAACGACGAACAGCAGCAGCGGCGGCGGCGGCATCGGCGACAGGAGGAGGGGCATCCGGGAGACGGTAGCCGAAAGGAGGGAAAGGGTGGCCAAGGTGATCGATGGCGGTTGTGGATTGCTCGCGTTCATGCGTGCTCTTCGTGTGTGTTGATTCGTGCTCTGGGGTTGTGTGTGCAGGGCCCGACCAACAAGGGGGCTGTGTTGTTGTTGTTGTTGTTGCTGTTGTGTTGCTGGCGCGAAGGCACATACCTTGTTCCTTCGCGCCGGTTCTATTTTTGCCGCAATACTTTTAATAGGTTTGTACGAGGAGCCCACCAACTCCGCTTGGGTTTGTATGTGCATTGTCGTCGCGTGTGATTTGGTCTCTTTATAGTCCCGGAAACTGGATCGATCGACTCGACGGATTCCTCTCCCATGTACCTACCTACAAATTCACCCCGCATCAGGAGAAGGAGAACTGCAGCGCCGCTTCCGGCGGTGGGGACCGCTGGGCGGACCAAGACGAGACGACGAGCCGCAACCGCAGCCACAAGCTCCACAACAATGTCTGTCTCGGGCCGGACGGGAAGGTCGACTACCTCGACACCCTAAGGTCGCTCAACAAGCCCGACAGCACCGGTGGCCTTCGTGGTCGCCGGCGGTCACCCCTCCCGGGTGTGGGGCTTTTTAGCGGCGGCGGCGGGGGCGGGCACCGCGCGGAGCTCGGTCGGAGCGACCTCCGGATGGCTGACCATGCAAGCGCGGGGTCGTTGGCGCGGAGGGACCTCAAGAGGAAGAGAAGGCAGGAGATCGACGACGACAATGAGAAGCAGGTATGAGGAGCCGATTATTGCGTGCCTCCCCCCTCCCCCGATGGTGTGTGGGTGGCGGGTTTTTGTTGTCGGGCCTGAGCTCCGCCGGCTTATTTCTATGGTGCCAATTCGGTTCGGCGGGAGCGGGAGGCGAGATGGTTGGCGGCACAGCGGGGCGCCTTTGCGGTGAACCACCCCTCCCACGGACCAATGTGTTCCCACATGACCGCTCCCCTCTAGCCAATGGTCGAACAGCGAAGGCATGCAAATCATGAGTAACACCCCTCCCCCCCTCCCGCCCCCCGCCATTCTAGACTGAAGTGAGTTGGCGGTGTTGGCAAAGCGCTGTAAAACACGCCACCGCAAATATAGCCCCCATAGTATGCGCTACCAAAGACGCGTGACGCATGGATGCGTGGAGTGAGGATAGCTTACGGAAACCTCACAGGTTGAGTGATGTAGGAGATTGCCGGCCACATAGACGTGTTGAGTGATTATAGCTGTATACTGAAACCCCAAGGGTTGAGTGAGGTTTGAGATTGCCAGACACATGGGCGGGTTGAGTGGGGATAGCTGCATACTGAAACCCCACGGGTTGAGTGATGTTGGAGTGCCGGACACATAGACGCGTTGAATGAGGATAGACATATACTGAACCTCACAGGTGATTTGTGATGGAGATTGCCGGACACATAACGCTTTGAGTGAGGATAGCTGCATACTGAAACCTCACAGGTGCATTGGTTTTCGAGTTTGCCAGACACGTAGACGCTTTGAGTAAGGAAAGACACACACTGAAACCTCACAGATGCATTGGTTTTTGAGTTTGCCAGACACATAGACGCGTTGAGTGAGGATAGCTGCATACTGAAACCTCACAGATGGATTGGTTTTTGAGTTTGCCAGACACATAGACGCGTTGAGTGAGGATAGCTGCATACTGAAACCTCACAGATGGATTGGTTTTTGAGTTTGCCAGACACATAGACGCGTTGAGTGAGGATAGCTGCATACTGAAACCTCACAGGTTGGTTTGTATTGGAGATTGCCGGACACAGACGCGTTAAGTAAGGATGGCTGTATACTGAAAATCCACAGTAGCTATAGTGGGGGGACAATGAGAATGCAGTACACATAGACCCGACCCCCAACCAGTACCCAAACCCCAACCCGTACCCGAACCCCCCCTGAAAAATGGAGGCCATGCGCCCCCCCTCCTCTCTACCTCCCCAAGAGGATGAGGAGGGTACAGTCCAAAGCAAGCAACAAGCTTACCTAAGGTTAATGCCTATTGGTACGGCATTAAATGAAATACTGAAGTACCCCATTGGGCGGTGGAGGACTTAGAGCTAAGAC